GCAAAGTAACAAAGCGAATATTCTTCAATAAAGGTTTTACTACAGAGTCAAAATAACTTCGACGACGTTGGATTTTTCCATCACAAATGCACGTTTCATTTAGTCATTCTACTGAATCAAAGTTATCAACCTTTGACAGTCTATATTTTTTTACTCCTTAATTCTCACACATTGTAACAATATTCGTAGCTTTTTCAAACACCAACCGTTCCAGTAAAATATTCCAAAATTATTTTTTCTCATCTTTTCTTTGACTTTATTTTGAAAGTGGACAATAAAATATTGTCCACCAAGGTAACTCCCCTTATGCAAAATGAAAATTCACTCCGATTCCAATGAACTCTGATTCATTGACAATACAAGTAACAGTTGGCTGTCAATCATTGGTCCCTGATTGCGAGATACCCCCCTCCCCCCTCACAGTTGGACACATAGTAGAGTGTTGGACATTCACTGTGACCAGTGACCTGCACATAGGCCATGGGAATAGCCATTTCTGGAAACAACACATCTTACTCCAGCTTCCCACTTGAGTTGGTGATTGGCAGTTTTGCCAGAGGGAGATTTTTCTCATTGATAATGCAAATGGATTCCCGGACTGCCCCAAAATGGGCTAAACTCAAGTGGGGTCACTGGTATGTTTGGCTGTGTACATAGCAACACCACACCTGCTCTGTAGTCCGATTTTAATAAAATTTTATATATCTCTGGATGTTTTTAATTTAATTTTTTTTTAAATGGTGATTTTTCCATAAAAACCCATAAAATAACAAAAAAATCAATTTTCTCAAAGATTGCCTGCTTATGTTGTAGCTCTTTAAATTCTGAACACAATGGTACAATTTCCATTGCTGTACAAATTACGGTTCAAAAGTTATTGAAATTTATGTTATTTTCCTCATAAACTAATGGAAAATCTGATTTAAAAAAATCCCGGAAAATTGTTCTGTTATGTTCCTTACAATCCTTGTGTTTGGACATTGTATAGAAAAAACAATAAAGATTTCTAAATAATAATAATTCCCAACAAAATAGTGCAACCCCTGAACCCCCCCCCCCATTGCTGTACAAATTGTGGTTCAAAACTTATTGTTTCCTGTAAAAACCCATGGAAAACACAGAAAAAAAAAATTTTGAAAAAAGCCAGCTCCGATTAAAATTTGTCTGTTATGGTCCTTATAATGCTTAATAGAATAAATGCTATCCCCCATAGCAGTAACAATTGTGGTTTAAAAGCTTTTGCAACTTTTGTGATTTGCCCTATAAATATCTTAGTTACTCCCATCACCTACTCATGATAAAGTTTGTTGACAAGCGAATGGGAGAAAGTGTGTGTCAGATTTTTATTTATTTTTGGCAAAAAAATGCTTTTTAATAGATTAGAAAACTCCGTGACTCGATACAAATTGTACTTTTTTAATTATGAACTGTTTTTCTAACTAACCCCACATGCAAAACATTGTTTGAATCCAATTTGATTCTTTGTTATGACCTAACAAAGAATTAAATTGGATTCAAACAACATTTTGTATGAGGGGTTGAGAACCCCTGTAATTTGATACATATTGCCATCTTAAGGTAGTTGTAGAAATTTCGTGAAAAAAAAAACTTAACCATAAAATCACAGTAATAAATTAATGGCAAACTAAAACTGTATTCAGGATGGCTTGTTGAGTTCTCAATGAATGGATTACCTTATTAACCAGAGCAGGAGATCCTTCAAAACTAAGGCCTAATTCTTATTCAACAACTCAAGTTTCGACACTTTTATTCAGGATCCTCTTGAGGCATCAAACCTTTTGTGTTGTTTCCCTCTTAGCGCTATACCAACCACTTGGGAAAACATATATTTTTATTACAAACAATTGTTATTCAAACTCTTTCTCAAGAACTGCAGAACTTGGGTACTTACTAATTATATTTCAAACTCCGCTTTTTAATACAACAGACAGATTCAGGCTGAAATTATAATTTTGAATTAAATCTATTCATTCAATTCAAAATATATGTCCTGAGATAAACGTTTAAATAACTTAGTACTTAATAACAAAGTTTGTTCTTTGAAATCAGATGAAAACTTCCTCTTCTATGATTAGTCATACATTTGAAATTGAAAACACAAAACACGTTGACGTTCTAATTAATATAAAGTTTTTTGTTAAATGTGTCATGTCAACGTTTGTTTTGTGTTTTCAATTTTAAATGTATGAAGAATCGTAGAAGAGGATGAACCTGATGATGTGGCCGTTGGCACGAAACATGTAGTTTGACGAATACCGACTCACCAAGGTATTTTTGGGTTAATATTTTGTGTTTTAGGAAGATTGTTGAAGAAGAAAGCTACGTATTTCTGTCCATGCCAGCTGTCATCATCATTTGGGGGCCGAGTAGGTTTTTTTTTACATCCCTAGGGCCGAAAATCAGTTGTTTGCTTATTTTCTTTAAACATTAATGCATAAATACACAATCAGTCATAGCATTGCAGTAGACTTGTTTTACTGTCACCGATGCCTAGCAACTATTTAATCTTACTAGTTGAAACCCGTCAAAATCGACGGTTACTCTCAAGGCTTACGCTAATTCATCTAACTGCGATAAATAGGGTGAAATATACATATTTTGAGCATTTAATTAGCATTATTTAAAGAGTTATAAGTGTAAAAACAATAATGATATTAATTGCGTTAGTTGTCAAATTTGGTTGATCATTCAATGAATAAAATATTCCCCATACCGTACGTCATCGGAGTTATTATTAGTATGTTATATGGTAGCTCTTCCTTTGGAAAAACCTTTAAATAGTATTAAAATCGTATTGGTGGATCTGTTGTAGTTAAACACTTCGTGATTTCATCAGTGTAATATTATTTTATTTGAAAAAAAAAAATATATTTTTTGGGAAAACATATTCTAACCTCAAAGGGAGGTATATCCGTTACAGTGTAAGTTTTATTTTTCCTTCGTCACTTCGCGTCAGTTCATATCATACTTCTGTGCCAATGAATGAACCCTCTAGCATAGTTTTGAGAAATTGATTGTGGGGTTACTGTTAAAGCTGGAATTCCTTGACATGGGGGGTGTCAGTTAGTTGTATCAGCCTTATCAATAACATAAAGTTGTCAATATAATCTCTCTACGGAATGTTAGGTGTAGTGGAATACTTGAAGTGAAGTTGGCTTTTATTCTTGAACTGTTAGGGGCCTCCTCATTCATATGGTCGTGCGGCTTCATTGGCAACAAATAATGCAAATGACATAGCAATGTGGCATTTCTAAAAAGCAAAAAATAATGTAAATTGGCTGTTACGTAAATATTGACGGTTACTTGCATATTTAATCAACGTATCTTATAAAGGATGATGTGATCTAGTTTAAAAGAAATATGACCTTTCTGTCATGACAGTAGCTGCTTAAATAGTATTTTCTCTTTGTACCATATTTTACAGCCAAAATGTCGTGTTAATTTCAATAATGTTACCAACCCAGTGTGCCAAAGTCCGTAATATAGGCAGGTGCAAATAATTTGTCAAGATGGGTACCATTTTAGGCAAGGTTCCTATGATTGGATTTTGTTAGACACGATAAGAGCAGATATTTCTACATAAATATTTGATATGTGTAGAATAATATGATAAAATATAGGCAAAAGTGGTGAAAAAGGCAGACACCAACTGGTACAGCAGATATAAGATAGTTCAATAAGAAATAATTCAAGAATTGCTGTGATGAAGGGATTTTATACTGATTTCGTAATGGAACGTTATATTGCAAAACATGACATGATAAGGAAGAAAATCAATTTTAAAATCAGAAAATAACATTGCAAATACTTATTTAGCAGAATTCAGTAACTCCCAATAAATATGTGTTGTTTGAAATACAATTTAAGAATGAACAGCTGTTTCATTATAAAAAGTATTCACAAGGCCAAAATGTAAACAACTCTGTGGAGGGATCTTTAAAGGCTTCTGGGGCAGAGTCCTAAGGGATTTTGCTTAGTTTTTCTTTTGATAACTCATCTACAGACCAAGACCTTTCTTTGGACACATCTACCAAGTTTCTACGCCCAGCCGTTCTATCAAATTAGTGGGGACAAAGTTTCCAGTTAAATATTTAGATTCCCCCAAGTTAACCTTATGGGAGAAACTCCAACTTTGATGGCCTGTGGGACAAAGCCCGAGGATTTTTATTACAGGAATTGTTGAAAGGGGGCGTCTACACAATAAATACTTTATTTTGACACGTCGTTTGTAAAAATCGGTCCATTATTAATGGAGGAATAGTGTTTTGTAGAAATCGCCTTCACATATTATATAAGGATGATTGTTGATTCCTTAAATTATTTCTTCACATAACCTTAAAGTTGTAGTTGTGTTGATTGTTAAAGTGCATTATTATTATTGTGGTAAATAGTGGTAATAGGGTATAGTGTGATGAAAAATAGCGTTTGTACCACGGACTGAAATGGTTTTGCAGCACTCGATCGTTAAAAACTGTCTCGGCTTCAACTCAAATTTAAAAACTATCTTGAGCCAGCAAAATCTAATTTTCCGCCCTGGGTACAAAATACACTATTAACACTCATAGAGTATAAAATATTGTTTTGGAGTCATATTATTAAAACTAATTTAAGGTAAAATGTTTAAACAAATTATAAGAATACCTAATGGTGATTTGAAAAACCTAAATTATAAATATCTACTATATTTTCTATAACTTTTCCATTTTTAGTCCATGAAAACAATGTAAAAAAAAGTAGGCGGCCACTTAAAATTATTTTAACAGAGTTTTTATGTGAAAAACTACCAAGGAAAAATAATGGTACTTGATCATTAAAAATTAAATCATATTTTAATTTTTATGTACAAATGTAAACCAGAGCAAAAAGGCAATAAATAGCTCTTCACAAATAAATTACAAGCAATTTTACCCAATAAATGTAATCAATCTGATACCTTTATCTAGAAAATTTTACATTATACAGTTAAAAACCAAACATTGATTTTAATTCAACCCTTCTTTTTAAACAAGACATATGCTAAAATAAATTTAATTTAACCTGAAAACAGTAAAGATGTTACTAAAATATCATCCCAAAATGTCAGACATATAAGTAACACAATTTTTGCTAACAATGAGAAAATAAATTGTTTATGCTAATAAACATAGACTAACAATATTTTTTATAGTTTATTCTTTGGAAGAAGAACTAAACCTGTAGGAGCATTGGGATAAAATAATACGAGTACTGTACAGCGCAGTACATTTCAACGCTTTCCAAACACAAATATTTTTCATACTGTATTTATATTTTAAAATATGTAATGGACTAAATAGACATTGAATTGCAAGTATAGTATTCAAATAAATTACTAAATAACCTTATAAGTAAATCATTTTCCTTTTAACACAATCAATAAGAAAACTCAAAACAACAATCACATTGATATCAAAATATTAGCACAGTATAAATATTTAGTAAAAATAAAAATATAAAATCTTTAGGTCAGTCTATGCAAGTTATACCCCTGATGTAAAATCCACGCAATTCAATACTGAAAGGCCTTTAAGTAGAGGTGAGTAGTTGATACCCTTTTAAGATGACCCCATATCACTAGCACATAAGTGATCCCATATCACCGGCACATAGTGTTCAATATCACCAGGACTTAGTGACCCCATATCACCCATCATGACGCAGGAGCATGGCCGTTGGAGGTTTGGTACTCTAAATACTTCTTCTCTTGTGCCTGCCACAGCTTTTGAAGCTTCTTGACCTGACCTTTACTGAGCTCTTTACCTTCGTGATCATGAGTTGGAATACCCTATAAGCATAAAATTTGATTACACAATATAACACACCAATATAATTTCAACATTTCACCATATAAGTTTACGGAGGAGTTGTGAAGATAAATCAACAACCTCCCGTAAAATTTGTGGCCAAATTGAGGAGCTTTCCACGATTGCGATAATATGACGAGAATTAAAACTCAACTCTACAATTATGCTGATCGCACACTTTGAACACAAATCGACAAACCCAAACTTGTGTCAAAAATTATTTCTGGCTCACACTAATCTACTAATCAATTAATTTTAAGCTTATGAGTTTTGATTGGGTGCATATTATTTACATTTATCACTTTTATAACACTATTTCATGCTTTTCTAAATGAAGTTTCTCATAAAACACAACTGAGATACATTTGTACCCAGAAATATTACCTTGTCATCAAATTTAGAGTACTTGTCAGTTTCTGACTTGAACATCTCTTGTGGAGGTATCTTCTTCTGAGCTTCTTTCAACGCTTGAGCAGCTTCCATTTCTTTCTTCTTCTTCTCTTTCTCAGCGAGTTTCTCTGCCTCAGCCTTCTTTTTAGCTTCTCTCTCTTTCATCAGTGTTTCTTTGTCCACCAATTTTACCACAGAAGGTCGACCTAGTGACCGATATAGAAACATATTAATTTTCTTAGTGTGATAATATGGTTAACAAAATTATCACATGATTAGTTTATTTTGAACTATACCACTGTCCATAATTATTGTAATCGAGCATAGGCAGTTTGGGTGTGTAAATATTAAAAAGTTGAAATAGATTTAAACAATTTTGTGTTACTGTAAACCCCAGTTCGATATTATTGAATATATTTTAAGATTCAAACCATCAATAAACCTATAAATGAACTTCTTATGAGATAAGAATAAATTAAATGTATTGTGTTTTATTTCATCCTGCTTTACTAAAAAACTTCATGATTGATGCCTCTTCGGAATATTATCACGAGTGTGTTATCAATTTTGAACGTACAATTACAACTACAGTACAGCATTAAAAAATCAATAGCTATTTGTATTGTGAACCATTTTAACATGTATACCGTAGTGCTGTAGCGAAATAAACCAACACAAAACCTAAAACTGAACTAAATTTGGAACAGTCCCCACTGCCATTAAATAGTTGGAACTGAAAACGAATTATACTAGATTGAAGTATTAAACTGGCCCCATAAGCGGCAATTGGACGCAACGCTCCCCATGTGAGGCTGAGTTCACATTGAACCAAGGCATGGGAGGAGGACATTTCCCGCCCGTCCCAGTGGTGCCCAGAACCGCGGGTAGAGATAGCCCGTGCCACACGCTTAACGTGTTAACCCTGAATCTATTGTTAAATCTATAATACAGGGTGGCGCAAAAAGGATGGTCGGTTTTAAAATTAACATAACACAAATGATTTTACGCATAAATTTTACTGACTTACGTTTCTGGACACTTTCAAACTCCCAATTACAAAAAATAACCTTGTAAGTTACAAATTTGCTAGTAGGCTATGTCGATAAAACCATAAAAAAATAAAAAAATATATAAATAGAACGTAGCGGACTTTGAAGTACTGACGCTCATACGGTCTCCTTGTTTTGTGGAGTAACTGTCGTCCAGTAGATTTACCACGACGGACCCTGTTGTCTGAGATGCAGTCACCCAACGTGATTTGATCTGCGAACAGGAACCAGTCCCATTCGGGCTGCGCCAAAATTTTGTCGAAACAGCCGTTATGAAGAAATAAAAGATTCACTGTTTCTGAAGAAGAAAAAAAACTGTTCCACAGCTAAAATGCAGTGTTCGACCGTCCACTGCACCATATCGCTGCAAATTGGGTACCATGGTCGAGTTACAGACGGCCGGTAGTGGACCCAAACCTCCCCCAACAACTAATACTACGCAGTTCTAATACGACCATCCTTTTTGCGCCACCCTGTACTTACAGACAATCAACATACCTTCAAGATCCTCAAGCCTGACTCCAACCTGAGGAAGAGTGTCATCTCGTAGTCTGTCACACTCAGTCAGGATGTCAGTAGCTTTCAGCTGACGTGCCAAACCTCGCACACTGTCTCGGAACTCTGCCATGATAGTGAGATATGGCATCACTATTTCCTCCACCTACAAACAAACATCAGATAAAACTTACTATGCCTGTTCCGGGAGTAATTTATACCATAATTTGAATCTACAATATTTTGATTTTATAGCCTCTCCATGAAAATGTATGAAAATCTTGCATAAAATCAAATCAAATACGCTTTGTTCAAGGAAGTAGATACAAGGCATACAATCGTCAGAGTTAGAGTGATTTTTCCCCGAATTAACTAGGATACTATTTCTATACAACTATTATATTTTTCAATCGCACAACCTTCGCAGATTTGTTCAGCATCAACTCTACACGATCAATTCTTTTACTAATGCACGAAAGATAATGTTGTTGGTGAGTCGGTGGCTCAGTTGGTAGCGTCACGGACTTCAGGACCAAGGCAGCGATGTCGTGGGTTCGGATCCTTGTCACAGCCACTAAAGTTTATCAGTACAGTTCACCTTCGTACTGTACCGGCTCACCCCTTGCTTTGGATACGTTCCACGCACAGATCTATAGTCTATGTGGACGGGCAAATGCAAGGTTAAAAGAGGCCGCCAACCTCTTTAAATAAAAAAAATAAAAGAAGAATAAACCTCCATGAAGAATCAAAACATCCCTTATAAATGTTATACAGTAGACTCCCTCTTATTCGGACACCTTTTAACCGGACAACACTCGGCTAAAATGACATCTCTTTAACTGGAAAATTTTTATCAGCACACAGGTTTAACCGGACTAGATCAGCAGGAAGTGGGCGGTACTGAAACAACTGTTCTCGAGGGAAAGATTTGAGACCAGGGATCACGAGTCTAAATACAATGCTCTCCTAAATTTAAGTCAAATAATGGATCCAATATGCATTTAAACGGTCCGTTTTAACCAGTTTTTGGGGACGTTGGTTTAACCGGAAAACCCGTTATACGCACTGGCCTCGTTCCCGAGGAGTTCGAATAAGAGGGAGCCCACTGTATTGATAGGAAAATACTCACATTGCCTGAAGTAGACGATGAAACAGGGAAGCCAATATCATCAGTGGTAGTAATAGTTCCAAATATCCTCATCATATGAGTAATGTAGGCAGCAATGTCTCTGAGCAACAGACAGTCAGGTTGTCCTCCCCTCATGTACACATTGCAGGCTGCTATACAGTCCCTGATGCTCTCCAACACTGGACGAGTGTCTACATTATCTGTAACATGTTATACATCAGTATCATCATGTCAGTAATGTAGGCAGCAATGTCTCTGAGCAACAGACAGTCAGCTTGTCCTCCCCTCATGTACACATTGCAGGCTGCTATACAGTCCCTGATGCTCTCCAACACTGGACGAGTGTCTACATTATCTGTAACATGCTATACATCAGTATCCTAGCATCATCATGTCAGTAATGTAGGCAGCAATGTCTCTGAGCAACAGACAGACAGGTTGTCCTCCCATCATGTACACATTGCAGGCTGCTATACAGTCTCTGATGCTCTCCAACACTGGGCGAGTGTCTACATTATCTGTAACATGTTATACACCAGTATCATCATGTCAGTAATGTAGGCAGCAATGTCTCTGAGCAACAGACAGTCAGCTTGTCCTCCCCTCATGTACACATTGCAGGCTGCTAAACAGTCCCTGATGCTCTCCAACACTGGACGAGTGTCTACATTATCTGTAACATGTTATACACCAGTGTCCTAGTATCATCATGTCAGTAATGTAGACAGCAATGTCTCTGAGCAACAGACAGTCAGCTTGTCCTCCCCTCATGTACACATTGCAGGCTGCTATACAGTCCCTGATGCTCTCCAACACTGGACGAGTGTCTACATTATCTGTAACATGTTATACATCAGTATCATCATGTCAGTAATGTAGGCAGCAATGTCTCTGAGCAACAGACAGTCAGCTTGTCCTCCCCTCATGTACACATTGCAGGCTGCTATACAGTCCCTGATGCTCTCCAACACTGGACGAGTGTCTACATTATCTGTAACATGTTATACATCAGTATCATCATGTCAGTAATGTAGGCAGCAATGTCTCTGAGCAACAGACAGTCAGGTTGTCCTCCCCTCATGTACACATTGCAGGCTGCTATACAGTCTCTCATGCTCTCCAACACTGGGCGAGTGTCTACATTATCTGTAACATGTTATACACCAGTGTCCTAGTATCATCATGTCAGTAATGTAGACAGCAATGTCTCTGAGCAACAGACAGTCAGCTTGTCCTCCCCTCATGTACACATTGCAGGCTGCTATACAGTCCCTGATGCTCTCCAACACTGGACGAGTGTCTACATTATCTGTAACATGTTATACATCAGTATCATCATGTCAGTAATGTAGGCAGCAATGTCTCTGAGCAACAGACAGTCAGCTTGTCCTCCCCTCATGTACACATTGCAGGCTGCTATACAGTCCCTGATGCTCTCCAACACTGGACGAGTGTCTACATTATCTGTAACATGTTATACATCAGTATCATCATGTCAGTAATGTAGGCAGCAATGTCTCTGAGCAACAGACAGTCAGGTTGTCCTCCCCTCATGTACACATTGCAGGCTGCTATACAGTCTCTGATGCTCTCCAACACTGGGCGAGTGTCTACATTATCTGTAACATGTTATACATCAGTATCATCATGTCAGTAATGTAGGCAGCAATGTCTCTGAGCAACAGACAGTCAGGTTGTCCTCCCCTCATGTACACATTGCAGGCTGCTATACAGTCCCTGATGCTCTCCAACACTGGACGAGTGTCTACATTATCTGTAACATGTTATACATCAGTATCATCATGTCAGTAATGTAGGCAGCAATGTCTCTGAGCAACAGACAGTCAGGTTGTCCTCCCCTCATGTACACATTGCAGGCTGCTATACAGTCCCTGATGCTCTCCAACACTGGACGAGTGTCTACATTATCTGTAACATGTTATACATCAGTATCATCATGTCAGTAATGTAGGCAGCAATGTCTCTGAGCAACAGACAGTCAGGTTGTCCTCCCCTCATGTACACATTGCAGGCTGCTATACAGTCTCTGATGCTCTCCAACACTGGGCGAGTGTCTACATTATCTGTAACATGTTATACATCAGTATCATCATGTCAGTAATGTAGGCAGCAATGTCTCTGAGCAACAGACAGTCAGCTTGTCCTCCCCTCATGTACACATTGCAGGCTGCTATACAGTCCCTGATGCTCTCCAACACTGGGCGAGTGTCTACATTATCTGTAACATGTTATACATCAGTATCCTAGCATCATCATGTCAGTAATGTAGGCAGCAATGTCTCTGAGCAACAGACAGACAGGTTGTCCTCCCCTCATGTACACATTGCAGGCTGCTATACAGTCTCTGATGCTCTCCAACACTGGGCGAGTGTCTACATTATCTGTAACATGTTATACATCAGTATCATCATGTCAGTAATGTAGACAGCAATTAAACCACTGCAACAAATATTGTATTTGTAATGGAACTTCTACAAGTACAGAAGTTACTTACCACAAAGTGCTAAGTGAACTGCCTCCTTGGTTTGTGTAAACTTTGCCTGCAGCTGCAGTTCTGGTGGCCCCCACTTGCGGAAGCTGCTGAGTTGAGTGCCCCCCGCTAGGTGACGGGTCAAAGCCTTCACTGACAGGAAAAACTCCTGGACACAATATAGTACAGAGATACAGACAATTGAACATTGCTTACAACATCTTTGACAATTTAGATACAACTGACCACTAAAATATCACTAGCGGTTTGATAAACAAATAATTTCTGAACTATTTGGCGTTTTTAATAATTTTAAATAGTTTTTAAGGAGATTTTTTACACTGAATGAGTGAATAAGAGGCACATGTTTGACAGTTTGGGTGTGTTCTGAGAATTTTTAGCATGTTGGGAAAGTTTTGGGACAATCGATTAAAGGCAAGCAAACATAAAAAAATGGCCTTATTCTAACAGACACTGTTTTTACTTGTTTTCCCAGTGACAATAGCCTCAGCCTTCAATAATCATTTTAAAGTCACCTCATTTTTGGAGTATCCTTTGCTCATGCAGAAGATCTTTTCTAGTCTCGGATATATTTCACAACAGAGTGTGGCATGTTAAGGGATCGTGGGATGTTATTTTTAAATTACATGTACACTACACTATATACTCTGACTGTAGCGCTAAGAATAAAAATAACAAGCTACACTGACCTAAGAAATAAATACTACAAAGCTACAAATAGATCTTTTGAATCTATATTTAAGTGATACTTTTCTTTTTTAGCAATATCGTTCACAATAACAATGTATTGTCGACGGTGCATAATAATTTCTAGTAATCAAGCACTATCCAAGTATTGAACATGGAAAGTTATTGAATGGGTACTGAAACCAATATCACCTCTTAATGATGAAACAAACTAAATAAGCTAATCAATGAATTTAAAAAAAATTCTGATTGATTTGGTAGCTAAAATATTCGTCTAAATGATTGTTTGAAAACGATCTAAATGATCTATTACTTACATTTAACATTTTTTCATAGCTGATTGCTAGATCCATGGTGTTATCACTGTAGTCCAAACTGTCTTTCCATGAATGAAGCAGGAATGCCAACCTGGAAGAGTATCCATTCCATTATTTTAACAGCATATAGAACACTAAATTTAAAAAATAAATATATATATATTAAGTGTATGGTGACAGTTACCAACTATTAGTAAATTTACCAACGGGGAAATAACTGTAGTATTCTAGCCTAGGTCTACCAACGTATCTTTTGTACCTTTTGACTTAAGGTCCCCAGAAGTTACAACTTGTTTCCCTAAAATGTTACATATAAAGGTTTTGGGAAGAGGTTTTTACACCAATAATACATTTTCCAAAACTGGTTTTCCTTTTTTGAACAATATTAAAAAAGTTTTTCCCCATAACATTGGTTAAATTTAATTTTTCTTTCAAATATAGGCCTTTAAAACTTAACCTACAAGATTTTTTGTGTGTGTGTGTGTTTTTTTTTTAGCAGCAGACTAAAAAATAGTAGTACCTTTTCATTGAACTGTTATTTAAACATTTTATAATGTTATCACTTATTAGTGATCGTTAATGACGCTTCCTCACAAAATGGGACAAAGTGACATTAGATAGAAACAAGAACAGGTTTCAGATTGTTGCCTGACAAAAAACGTTTTAAAATGCCATGGACATAGAAAACAATACAAAACATACAAGTACAGTTTATACACACATACAATAGAAGCTACCTAAGCTGACGAGCTGAATGCCTCTTGAGAGCGTCAGCGATGGTGACAAAGTTCTTGAGAGACTTTGACATCTTGCAGCCCTGGATGGTCAGATGTCCAGAGTGTAGGAAGTACCTCACCCACTTTTCGTTGTCAAAGTATGCCTGCACAAACCCAACCATGCTAGAGTACAGGTACCCTAGGTGAAAAAGTAATTCAACAGTTACCACGGGTTTTACAGTACATGTCATCAGTTCCAAATTGTAACATTCAAATGTTGGATGTTTCAGCGAGATACCATTTTAAACACTTCAGTCCAGCAACTACAGTAAATCTGTTTGAATAGCTTGGATGATGGTTTGGATACAGTTAGTTTTATAAGAAATGCTAACTGAATGATAACATTTTTGTAAACTGTCTTTTTAGAGACACATTAGATTAACCGACACTTATGGTACCGGACCTAAGTAGGATAAACTAAAAGGTCATTAAAAACGGGTAACTATGTTAACATGTGAAATACTGAACACTTGCAGACCCATTAACTGTACCTCAAAAATAATATGTCTCAATTCTATACAGTAACACAGTAGTTCTAACAGTAGTTCTATACAGTAGTTTCTATACAGTACTGCAAATTTTATTCTTTAAAAAAAGGATTTAATTTGTTAGGTAAAACAATCACAAAGCTTAATTTTGACCAGGCTGATTAATATTTATGTATTTATCAATACATGCACGTATAAATGAAATAAAATTATTCAAACCTTTTAAGTATGTGTAAAGTTAATAAAAAAGTGACGTTTTTTATTTGGGCTTTTGCTTTTCCTTGTGTAAGTTCACAGTGTAATTCATAACAAATCTAGACCTAAATCAAAACAGTATTTTATTTTTCCAGTTATAAAAATGGAATCTATTTTCTTATTACTTAAGTAGGGCCTAAGAATAAGAACAAAACTCTCGCAGATAAACTAAATTCCTGTTTTGCCCTTGCAGATTCGTTTAATACGAGTGGTAGTTAAGAGAGGGTCTACTGTAGTAGATAAAATGAAAACAATGATTTATATTATTTTTTAAATATATTCAGGCAATCACTGCTTTAAAGTGGCTAGTCCGTTTTACAATTTACTTGTTGACAGGTATAATTTACCATATTTCACAAAATATTTCTCTCAACACACCTTCTGAAAGTGCTATTTTACTAACCATATGTGAAGAAAAATTTCCATTCCTAAAGAAATTTATACAAAACTTAATTTACTATGATTTATTTTAATTGTACGTCTTTTTGAAAACTGTGGTTTGTCGTTTGAGGATTATACTCGCTAAATAAAATACAAATAAATAAATAAAGTTTCTAAAACACCTGCAAGAAAAGTGTTTTATTAATCCGTAGCAGCTCAGACAATATCAATCAATGTACAAATGATGCCAGGCCAGACCGTAATTATTCATTCTTAACATCTGTTTTGGGTCTGTGCTGATACTGATTGAGAATCTAACAGCTTGAAATAGTTCATGTTGAGTCCTTAATTACACAAGTATTGTTCTCTATTATTAAAATAAACAATTGACTTTTTGATACTAAAGTGGAAGGGATTGGTGTCGACTTCTGTCGGTCAATAGTAAAATGATGAACTAATTGTCTACAGTTGAAATACAAAGAAAGTTAGATTTTGATTAATAGAATTAGTTTTTCTAAACAGCTGATATCTCAACATTTTGCTTTGTTTACTTTGAATGACAACTGATCAAAACAAAATCCTGGCTCAGTTTATTTGAGTTGATTTGTAGGCCTATTCTACAGGAAATGGTCTGCAAGTAGATTATGATTTCTTGGCTCCAAGTTTCACTTTGGCCACTACTTTTCCTCAGCCCAGATGACAACTGTTCTAAACAAAATTTCCAAAAAAGATCAAAGTAATGTTTATAAAATCAGCTGTTTTGCAAACTAATTCTAGTGAATTTTGTGCCACCTTGTATGACAACTGTAGACAAAGAACTATTGTACGGTACATCATCCAGCCACACAGTACACACCTCTGACTGGGCGAGCTCGTTATCATGATGTGGAAACTTGAGGTCGACTCCGCCAGTATGGATGTCGAGCACCGGGCCGCAGATGGCCGAGGCCATGGCTGAACACTCTATGTGCCACCCTGGCCGTCCTCGGCCCCACGGCGACTCCCACCATGGCTCTCCCGGCTTGGACTTCTTCCATAGAGCAAAGTCTGTGGGTGATCGCTTCTCTGCATCTCCAGGCCCTAGGTCTCCTACACGTGGACAAATTTCAACTTGTAGCGTTGTAATACATTGAAAAACCTGTTCCTTATGAAATATTGTAGGAGTGTGTGAGTGATCCGAGTATTATTGAGCAAATATTTCATTACTCGGCTCAAATCAAGCTTTTTATTAAGTTTTCTAAAATATTTATATCTTTTTAATATAGCAGAACCAAAGTATGATTTTTAGCACAGCAAGAGATTGTATAACTCTCACAAACGTTGCTTCATTGACTCTGAAAAGCATAGTTAATGTGTAAAGTTAAGAGGTTTAAGCACAACTCCCAGCTACCTCTTTACTCGTCACGCTTCAAACTAAAAAAAAAACTTTATACAGAATATTGAAAGATATCTTGTGGTTTAGAGAACTTTTTAATTCTATGAGTACACAATTAAAATATTAAAGACAAGTTAAAAATTGGAGATAAATTAGGCCTATTCAATTCTGTTGGTTTACAGGGACATCTGAGACCCGACTAAAATGTCAGGGACTTTCCCCAGGGATCAGGGATCTCTGAGGCCCAATTCACACAGAATGGACGTCAGGCGGAGACGTGACATGGACGAGGCATGGACATGGCAGAGACGTGGCGTGTACAATGCAAACAGAAGGGGGGGGGGGTAAAGAGACGGTACAGTAACGAGAAAACTTGTATGTAGACTAGACGCTTGCTTATTTCTTTGGTTTTTGCTTATTTCTGTTAGTTATTTATGTCAATTGAATTAGTTATTTATATCATCTGAATTAGTTATTTATGTCACTTAATTAAAACGTCGTTGATCGTGTACAAACAAGGGAATTGTTCAACTTCCTCACAAAATGTGATATTGAATTCAATGACGTCTTGCATAGTGAAAAGAACACGAAACAACTCACAATTACTTTAAACACAAAACAACAAACAATGTTGGTAAGTACAATATTTGAAGTTCGAAAAACAGGTGCGCTATGGACATGCCACTTCCGATACGCCACGGGACGGCGAAGCACCGTGGCGGTGGCAGGAGGGCAGCCGCCGGCGCCACATCACTTGTGTGTGCATTGACCAATTTGTTTACATGGAGAGGCGAGGAAGGGACATATGTCTTTGCCTCGTCTGTGCCACATCTCCGTCTAACGTCCGTTCTGTGTGAATTGGGCCTGAGAGATGTAGACACTTTCAATATTCATCAAAAGCCAAGAAAAACTTTCCATTGTCTAATCCCTGTAATACATGTTTAACCACTCTAAAAAAATAGGCCTACAATCACCAAGGATTCTAGGTTAGATTGATCAAATATTGTTGTTTTCATTCAATATTTTTACAAACACAAAAATTAAGTTCCTTATTAAAACAAGTTTTCGTGGGCACAAAAAAAAAAAAGAAATCAGTAAGAAATTGCCTGATCAAAAGTGAAACTCACAATTAATTTGAACTTATCCACTTGTCCCTTGGATTTCCTCTGTCAACTATTTATTTCAGGGGGCCTTAATCCAGACACTCATACAGACAGGTGAACTCAGCCTGGGTTACGAAAACCAAGAACTGAAGATCCAAACTCCTGGCAAGGCTTTAGGCCTATACAGTTTAGTCGTCAATATCAGTGTTGGGGAAGCTACTTTTAAAATGTAGCTAGCTACAACTACTGCTACATTTCCTAAAAAGTAGCTTAGCTACAGCTACAGCTACAGTTCCGAAAAAGTAGCTAGCTACAACTACAGCTACAATGAAATGTAGCTACAGCTACAATTTTAGCTACTTTTCCAAAGACGTTACTTTTTATTCCACGCACATTAGGTAAATGTAAAATTAATTTCAACTTCATTTTTATTGAACAAACATTTAAACAAAAAATGTCACATTAACTAACATTACTTGGAAAACAAATTATTCCTAGAGTGTATTTAATTTGTTGGCATTATAAACCGAACATTACAACAACAGAAACAAATAGTTGGGTGTCCCATCATATTAAGTACCTACTTATTTTTAAATAACTTATTGCATTATTTTTAAGCAACTTATGTAAATTTCATTAAGTTCAAAGGACACATAACCAAACTATATTTTAAAAGCTCATTTTATTTCTTAAATATAGATTCATTTATAGATGTCTTATATCAACAATTAAGACCAATAAAACTGTAAAATGATTATTTAAAAATATTTTTTGTGTTAAAGAGCCTAGCCTACTGAAATTGGAGTTTATTGCCTTTCTTTTCTTTTAATGTTAAAAACGACATTGCTATAACTTTTAAACATAGTGATAAGTTACTTGTTCTATGAATAACACTTTTCAATGTCAAGAAATCGTCCTTTATTGTCATTATGCATAGGGCAAATTGTGCTTCAACCTAGTTGGTACAGAAAACAGTATTCAGCAACTCATACTGAAATCGGCTTTTAATTTAAACATGTTGAAACTTGTAAAGTAACAAATTTGAAAATAACATGTAGGCCTACTTGGCTATGTAACAAGTTGGCTATAGTAGGCTTGTTCTTGCAAGGACTAAACAGATATATTCATAATAATTGAACTTGGAACTTGGCATTCTTCTTAAACCATAGCATAGCCTAGGAATAGTCCTATACAAGAGCTGTTAGCAGGAGCAAACTATGCTATTTTTTCAATATAAGTTTCATGTTATATGGGGATTTTTTCGTTACAATTATCATGTAATATCTAGGCATATCTTAAATCTCAAGTAATTTCCTCTCTGTTAATTTAGTAAACCTTTGAACAATCTTCGTAATCTAACCAAGGAAGGGCTTGTGATGATGAACCAATATCAACAGCTGAAGCAAAAAGGTTGATAGACCAGCTTTCTCATTATTTTAAGGTAGTGTTGGTTTTTGGTTTCCATTAAAACCCAAGTTGAAACACTATCGATGTAATAAAGAAACTAAATTGACTACTAATTTCCCTGTCAATCACTTGCAAGCATTCAATAGCTTCTCTTGTCACCGGTAACGTTTAAACGTCGTCTGCATCTAGTGATTTTATTTTATCTGACAGTAATCATAGAGTAGTAAATTAAGGAAATGAGAGCCAAAAATGTGGATAACACTCATTTAATGGCCTCCATGTCCACACAACGTTGTAATAGGGAATGAAACGGCTGCAACCAGCTGTATGAAGCCAAGAAAGTAGGCCAATTTTTTTTTTTTAATCTCAGTTTGAAAGAGGTTGTTTCACGTAAGGTTGAGGTTATGATAAAAATCACTATCTCAAACAATGTTAATGTAGCGAGAAAAGTAGCTAAAATTCCGCTACAACTACTTTAAAAATGTAGCTAGCTACAGCTAAAGCTACAAAATCTTAAAAGTAGCGTAGCTACAGCTAACGCTACAAAAAAAGTAGCGCGCTACTGTAGCGTCGCTACTTGTAGCGCGCTACTTCCCAACACTGGTCAATATGACTTAATACAATTTTTACCAGGCTAGGTTGCAGGACATGTTAGACCGTTTTTTTCCATGCTACTTGTGACGTCCGATACACTGAACATTAATGTTTAAATAATTAATTATGAAATTTCAACCATTTAAAATAAATAGCTGATTGTTGATTACTGTTACTGCCATGAATTATACAATATTACTAACCTTCCCCAGACTGAAGAGATTCCTGGTCTCCGTAAGCCTCTGGGACAAGTTTGGCGTAGAAGTGGTTGGATCTGGCATCAAAGGTCTTCACGTCAAAGTAGACAGAACCGTTGGACTCGTACGCCAGTCCATTCTCTATTATCTTCTCAATATATGAAACTATTTCTGGCACATATTCACTTACTCGAGTGAGTACATTGGGTCTCATAACCTTAAACAGAGAGTTATTGTAAAGTTGACTGGTCAACCTTTTGTATTTACTGTATTTAGCAGCAAATAACCTGGAAAATCACGTCTGGCAACGCTTTTTGCCCCGTTTTCGGGGATTTTTTCTCTTCGAACCACATTAAAAAAACAATGACTAAGGATCCAGGCGCTATCTGTGAGTTTTTCAGTGAAGTACGCCCACTCGGGGTAACACAGCACCATTACCACTGCTGTGTGACGCATAGCGGCACGCTATATTTGTTATAGTGTGAGCATTTCGCGAAGCCGGGCTGCATGACCAACTCGTGACCGCGACTGCATTAACGCTCTACCCACCCAACATTGAAATGTAGGAATTAGTCTTTAGCAGTGAGCCTTTTCAAACATAAATTTTAATCACATGTCCCCAGATTGTTCCATACCATTTCTCAATTAAATTCATTAATATTTCACCTTCAGTAATTAATCTACAGACAATGTCTTTCACTCAGCAGTATTTGTAACTGATTCACCATGTTCAGTTCTTAGAGTTTGGAAGGATAGGCCTATATTTAAGTAGTAAATTAAATTAGTGTAAATCAAAGCTGGCTAGGAAGGTGTTCTGATCTGGGTAAAAAGTCTCCGTCTCTCTGGTCCCCAGCAATCTTCCTAAAAATATTGGTAGTAGTTTCAGCACGCCTAACCTAAGTTTGGTCCAGACACAGCTAAGTTATTCAAACCTATTAGCATTACCCTGTTCATTCCCACTACAATTCCCGAATTCCCGCCAATTTAACATCATCACCCCCCACACTTCACCCACCAATCCAGTTCTTCAGTCCACTTCGTTCCCCCCCCCCCCCCCCCGGTACAGCTGTTTTGCTGCTGTCAAGACTTAAATATTTTAATGCCTATTGCGTTCGCTGATTCACTGGCGCGCCGAGGCTGCGGCACATTTCCGATTGCCACGCCAATGGGATTCTCGTAGCGAACGTGTTAATGTACTCATCTAAGTTACACTATTTGCCTCAGATAGCTCCGACAAGGGCTTTTAGTTTAATCTTTTTATTTACTAAAATAAATATTGAACAGGTAGCTACTTTAAAATACTACTATTGCCAATTCACTAAGGTAGCTTGACCTAGGTTCTAACTTGGGTGACTAATGAACTTTGAAATCAAGCCAAGCGCTGTTGTTGAAGTTTAAGGTTTGTTTAAACGTAAGAATTGGTTAAATTACGTCTTTGTATAGGCCTAAACTACTGAAGTGAAACTCAATGGTTTTCAAAAGCTACCTGCACAGATTGAGAACAATATGATGCATATTTGACAGCTCTGCACTAAACCTTTACCCATGAAGCATTACCCTACCTTTAACTGATAACCCTAGACATTACATTCTCTTGTTAAAGTTGTAACGCCAGTTTTAGGATGAATGTGAATGTGGTTGAATTGAGCCACGGACAGTGTGTGCTGTTGTAAATAATTGATTTCTGTAGAATACACAAAACATCCAATTTGTAACAAAATCAAACTGGAAGGACTAACTTAATCCTAATTTACTAACTTAACCCTGCATCTGGCAGCTACAAATCTCTGTACTGGCAGGCCATTTTTGACTGTATGTATGTGGGTTACTTTAGAGCTGTATAAATTGTGTTCCACTATACAAAAGTATATTTTCTTTTTCAGTACATTACTAGGAACAAATGAAAACAATTGACAGATCCCAAAAAAGTGTTGTAGAACTGTTTACTTGTAAGAACAAAAAAAAGTAAAAGAAAATAGGCCTGTAACATTTTTCCAAAGTAGAGGCTTGGAAAAAATACAAAAGATTTTTTGAATAAAAAATCAGAGATACATACAAAACGTATAGAAAATGGTTCTTTACAAGAAAAAAGTCAAAGGTGTATTATATTATATTTATAGTATATTAATATTTGTTTAAAAAAAGGTAAGAAAGGAGTATGTTGTGTCACACCGCGCTAAACACACAGTTGCATCATTCCACATTTTTACTCTCAACTTTAAAAATATTGTTACATCATGGAAACTAAACAAACTATATATCAAAATAAACGATAGAATCTCCTGTGTAAAATGGTAAAAAGCAATATCTAAGACAGTGATGTTTTCTGTTGAAACTTAAAAGTTAAAGAAAATTGATGCTCAAACAACTAGTGACTAGTCGTTGCCAGTGGAGGAACTAGTTTTAGCGACTAGTCGATAGTCGTTTGCTAGATGCAGGGTTAATTTGAGCTACCTAAATTTAATATCTTTTACGTTACATCAAGAATCTCATTAACCATGCTAAGTGTAAAAATAGAACTTTATATAGTCATACAATCTGTGAATGGCTCATTCAACTACCTACATCCTTTATTAATAAAACAAAATTGCTACAGCTAGTCTATATACATGAGAAATCGACTTCAGCATTCAAAAGTCAATGATCCTAGATAATGCTAAATAGCCTACAATATTTAGACTGATAGGTAGGTCTACATTCGATGTAATGGAAGGAAGACTCACATTAAGTGCATCCATGTCCTTGTGGTATTCAGCCTCCCAATGGCGAGGTAGACTGACAAAGATGTCATTGTCTGTAATTGTGTGTCCGAACTGCTTGTCCAGCCAATCGGACACAGGGTCTCGACTAGCCTCCATTAAAACCTATCATATACATTACGGGTTTAATAAAATTAAAATAAACCACAAACTAATCACTATAACTTAAAACTAGAGAAAAACATCAAACTTAAATTTCAGTTTGTGAGATGATCAACGCATAAGGTTATGAAAAAAATTGCTTCACAGATAAAGAGGTCTAAGCTCCCACAAATTCTTTGTGAACATGCCTGCGATTTAATCCATCACTCTCGTACTGGAAACTGAGACTCTAACCACTAGCTTGCAACTCACCCCCACTCCTGTCAAATGTTCCTATATCCAATGGTTTTGTAGGCTCGAATAAAATATTGGTGCTAGACTAGCAGAGAGAAGATTTCACCACACTATCATGGTTGAAGATTCAATGTTAGAAACAAAATCTATGGGCTTACAAAACAACATTACTAGGACACGGAGGTTAGAGGTGCCTGCTAAAACACACACATTTAGTAATTTTACGGTATAAGTCCATCATAAAATCAGGGAATAGTGATGTACATTTTGGATTGTCAACATAATAAAGTAGTTCAGTATATTATCTTTCTAAAATTAATGAAACCTTGTTTGGATTGGACAACTCATAAATTGTAAAAAAAAGGAAAGTAAAATTTATTCTAGGCAAGATTTGAAAGACATTTACCACATTTACTTATTAATAAATTATTACAAGTTTTTGTTGCCTATCCTACCTTCTCAGCATCTTTGATCTGTTTCTCATCGTTGCTTTTGATTGCCTTCTCCATTCCCTCGACGGCCTCAGTTACTCTCAGAGACAGATTGTGCAACATCTCCTTCTGGTCTGGATCTGTGGTTTTCTACAAAATACTTAACTATTGTAACTATGAGCATTACAACCCAAAATTTAAAGTAAGGATGAACGTTAATATGACTAGACATTCCCATTTTTAACTCAAAAAGTACGTAGTAGAATTGAGAATTAGCACACAAAAGTTATGTGTACTCTTAAATGATATCCAACCTAATTGTTATCTTCAAAGTCAAGAAAAAAGAAGTAAAAAATAATTAATATATTGAACATAACATACTGAAACAGACTAAAATTTACTCTATTAATAAAATATTGAAACTTAAACACACATAAAAACTTTGGCCTGAACAATTAATAATAAATACTGGCACATAAATGTATATTTCATGATATAGGCCTACTAAAAATTGGTACTTTGGTATTATCCGGAGGCCACCCTTATACAGCTGTATAAGGTGGGTGAGGTCGTTGACCGGAGCACGTGACGCATCACCTGTGACCTGTATCTGGGGTGGCAGCTAGAAGCAGCGACGCATTCAACTCGATCCTCGCCGACATTGCTGCCTTCTGGGAGGCAGAACTCAAAGGCCGCTAATTGTAATCACGTCAAATTTGGCCTCCGGATAATACCAAAGTACCAAAATTCAACTGAATTTCTATGCAGCAAGTGAGATAGCCTACCACAGAATAAGATCAGCATAATTTACTATGAATAAAGGCCTATGGATATCCTCTCATACAAAAACTATTTAAGAAAGCAATATTTTGTTGACTATTTACCGTAGCTTTTTCTACAACCAGACTCATGGCACTCCTAGTGTCTGACAGAGCTTGTGACATGTCTCGAGGCTCTGCCGCGTACTGTGAATACAAGTGGCGCTGTCGAGCTCTTTTGATGATCTTGTCATCGATATCTGTGATGTTCATTACATAAGTGACATCGTAGCCAAAATAGTCAGAGAGAACTCGACGAAGGATGTCAAATGAAATATATGACCTGCAAAGTAATAAGATTCAGTTATACATTTAACATATTATATATTAACTATTTGATATATGACAGGTAAATAAGTAATTTTAGGAAATATCATTTAAAGGAATTAGATGATAATAAATTTATTCTTAGACCACCATTTTGAGGTCACCACACAGGAGAGCAAGTCAGTGGTGACAGGCAATAACAATTTATTATGTAGGAAATAAATTACTCTTATAGGTTGGTTTAAAATTTGTAAATTACGAGGCAAAAATGTGGTTCGTGTAATATATTTATATAAGTAATATAACAGTTTTTACTATTTAATAATTTACAAGGCTATGTTGGCAATATTTAAATATGTACGTTGAACTGTAACCGTTTGTATTTCCCACTACCAGTTAATAATATTTGAATAAACGAATGCTATTGGACGATCGGGTCACACCACTTCCCCAACCCATGAGTCCATGTTAACCGACACCTCTACACCTCAGTTATAGCCAGCTTCCATCCTGAGTAACTCCGGCCCGTTCGGTCGTTAGCAGTTTTACAGTGTTAAACCGTAGTGCTTATTAACTTCCCGATTCCCGTAGTGTAAGACGTCAGGGTGACGTAGTGACTTAGTTACAGTGTATAAGGATAGCACCGTGTCAACGAAGGTACGTCAGGGTGACGACACTTCAGTGGCGACGAGGACAATTGGAGCAGTTTTTAACGTTCGGGAGTGAAGCGTCGGTCTACGTCCGGTACTGTACGCGTGGTGTAAATGGCTTGTTTTAGCGCCATAAAAAGATTTTCGTTAGTTTGTGTGGGGAAGGAATGAACATAGAGAAGCTATTTAGTGAAGGATTTAAGTTCGGACATAAAATGGCGGGAATTATAGGAAGCGTCGGGGAGTTCGACCAACACGAGGAAACGTGGGACTCGTATATTGAACGTTTCGAACTATTTTTAAGTTGTAATGAGGTCAGTGAAACGAAAAAGGTTAGTACGTTACTCACAGTAGTTGGTGTAAAGACGTTTAAGCTTTTGCGAGATTTGTGTACACCGGACAAACCGTCTACTAAATCGTACGCTGAATTAGTAAAATTAATTAAATGAAATGAAATGAAATGAAATGAAAAATCCTTTATTTTTTCAGGCAAAGTTAGGGCCACATGGCCCTTTCTTACACTTAACCTGACATTAAAAATATAACATAAATAATGTAACATAGGGATAACTTAATCTAATTAAACATAAAATATTTAACAATTCAAGTACCTACATATCTAAAAAAAACATAAAAATTTAACAAATAGAAAAACACATTCACACACTCTCGCATACACACATCAGCAAACGCGCAAGGTAACAGTAGCCCTAGGACACGCCAGCCGAGACCATCTTCTCAAAATAGAGCTTTTTCAGTGCCGCCACAAACTGGGAACGTTTTTCAAGGGTCTTAATGTGTAGGGGTAGGCCGTTCCACAGACGACAAGCGGTAACAACAAAAGCCCTGCCATAAGCTGTGGTCACATGATGAGGTATACGCAATGTAATCGAAGAATAACGAGACATTCGTGAACTACCCTGAGACACAAATTTAAAATCGGATTTGAAATATTTTGGGGAGCCTGTTTTCAAAATTGAAAAAACCAATGACAAAATTTTAATGAATCTTTGATCATTTAATTTCAGGATGTGTGCCTCAAGGTAGTATGGCGTGATATGCTCCATACGTCGCAGACCATAGACAAATCTCAAACAATAATTCTGTGACCGCTGGAGCATACCCGCCTGAGTCGCAGTCAAGTCATTGATCAATGAGTTGCAGTAACTGAAGTGGGGTAGTACAAGTGATTTGATCAAATATAGTTTAGTGTGTTGTGGTAAAAAATTCTGTAATCTTTTCAATGAATGTATGGAGGCAAAAACCTTTTTTCGTGTGTCCGTAACTGCTATGTCCCAAGTAAGTGAAGAGTTGAAAGATATACCAAGATTCTTGACATTGTCGTAGTATGGAAGTGCTTTGCCATTAACTGTGATTGGGTTTATGGAGTCTAAGTCAATTGAAGGTCGAAGTCGCGAATGGCTAATGACAATCGGTTTCGTCTTTTTGTGATTTAGTCTCAGTCCATGATTCTCAGTCCAAGTAACAATTCGGTTGACATCTTCATTGATCCTTCTGACACAGTCGTTTTCGTTGTTTGCAGTAAAATGGTCATAGATTTGTAAGTCGTCAGCGTACATGTGGTGTTTACAGTTGACCAAGGTCGAGTTTATGTCATTGACGTACAGTACGAAGAGCAGAGGCCCAAGGATTGACCCTTGAGGCACACCGCATGTAACAGTCACCCAGTCTGATCTCGTGTCACCAATCTCCACACATTGCTGCCTATCTGACAGATAAGATCTCAGCCATTTAAGAGAATTCTGGGAAAACCCTATGGCCCGTAATTTCTGAACCAGCAGGTCATGATTAACACAGTCAAATGCTTTAGAAAAATCAAATAGAGTTAGAATCGTTCCTTGTCGACGCTCCATAGCAAGTTTTATGTCTTCAGTCACTCGAAGGAGTGCTGTCTCTGTACTGTGTGCTGTCCTAAAACCAGATTGATAGTCAGATAAAATGTTGTTTTCTGTGATGAATTCAGTGATTTGACAGTGAACGATTCTTTCTAGGCCTTTAGATAGAGCGGGCAAAATACTTATCGGCCTGAAATCCCCAACCAAGGTTGGGGCTGAGATCTTTTTTAGGGGACGGATAATGGCAGACTTCCAAGAAGAAGGGAAAGAATGGTGCCTTAAAGATGCATTAAAAATGAACGTGATAGTTGGAAGGATGGCATAGAGGATGTCTTTGATGAAACGAATAGGGATACCATCAGAACCGACAGCATTGCTTCGGATTCTGCGGATAGCCATCAAAACATCGGACTGAATAACTGGTTTAAAATTAAACTCAGGATATCTCAGGTGTGGGGTTGGAGAGTTAACTAGTTCATTTAAGTAACTGTCAACTTGATGCTGGTTGGTATTTTGACTGCAAGAAGAAAAGTAAACGTTTAATTCATTTAGAGGAATGTGTACCGGTTGAGAATCAAATTGTTTCCCTAGCCCAAGACTTTTAACCTTGCGCCATAAAACATTTGATGGTTGCTTTTGATTTTCAAAAAGTTTCTAAATGTATCTGAGTTTTGAATTTCGTAGAAGCTGTTTAACTCGATTACGATGATTCCGATATTGTTGTTTTAGTTCTAAATTGCTGGAGCGTCTAGCCTTTCTAAATAAGCTATCACGTTGAGCCATCAGACTTTTAATTTCAGGGGTCATCCACGGAACAGGTCTTCGTTTTGTCACACGTTTTGAAACGATGGAAGCATGCTTGTCAAAGAGATTCAATATGGATGAATTTAGCTCATGAACCATTTCATCGACAGAATTTAAATTTTCAATGAAGTGCCACGGAGTTTGTTGAACATCTAACATGAACTGAGCGACATTCATATTTTTAAAATCCCGATATTTAATAAACTTTGCTTTGGGCTTGGGAGATTTGATTGAGTACACACAGAAAATGAGGTCATGTTTAGATATTGCAGGGATTGGAAGCTGCCCATGATGAATGATATCGTGGTCATTGGACACAACTATTAAATCTAAGAGGGTGTCAGAATTGGCAACATGATGTGTGGGATCGAGTGGTAGTACAGTTAAGTTGCACGATTCAAACATGGTAGTCAGCTGTCTGTGTTCAAAGTTATGAGTCAACGATAGTAAGTCAGTGTTAAAATCACCCATGATCAAAACATGACTGTATTTGAACATCTCGTTAAGCAGAGCATTTTCAAAATCAAGCAGATGCCCCGATCTTGGTGGGCGGTAGCACACTCCTAGTAACAGCGCATCTGCTCCAGGCAAACTGATCTCAATAAATAGGAATTCTGGCCCAGCCGAGTACTCCGATGGTGAAGAAAAGACTGTTTTAAACTTTAAATCCTCCCTGATATACACCGCAACGCCACCGCCCTGTTTACCAATCCTGTCATTACGTTGCAGCACATATCCAGGGAGGGACACCTCATTTGAATGAATACTCGGCTTCAGCCAGGATTCAGAAATGCAAATTAAATCAAAATTACCAGGACAAAATATTTCTCTAACCTCATCAATGTGAGCACGCAAAGACTGGGCATTGATGTGCGCCGCTTTCAGGTGTTTGGGATAGGGAGATAAGGAGCGAGAAAGACAATCAGCGGTGGACAGTGTAGGGTGATGGGTGGGGGAGGGGGGAGAGATAAGCGGGTCGTTGCGGCGAGCACTGTGCGGCTGTGGACTCGCTATCCCGGGTCCACAGGTCGCGACGTCACGACAGGCGCACCCAAGACCACTGCACAAGCTGCGATCACTGATTCACACTCACACACATACATACATACATACATACTTAAATTACTAAAGTAAATCAAAATCACTGTTAAGAATAAAACAACACGCTTGTCTGGCTCCGCTAACAATTCACAAAAGAACAAAAAATAAAAGATTTTTTCCCCTTTTTTAGAATAAAATACATCCAAAGAAACTAAACTCAATGACATTAAATTCAACAATAAAACCTCATATTCATTATACATTTGTAAACAAACTGATTTTTTTTTATTTATTATTTGAACGTGAACTTTTCCATGCAAAGAATATAAAAACAAATAATGTTAATAAATTAATTAATTTACTGTTTGCAATACCATATTACACACTAAGATAATAAATATAAATAAATTGAGAACATAAACTTAACTTTCAAACTTTAAGATCATAAAATATATTTTATAATTTAATTTAAAACAAAATAACAAAATCTATTTCAGTTTAATAGTAATATTCATTGCTATTCTTTAAAAGTGTAAATATAAAAATAAATAAAAATAATAAAAAAATATATCAAATGTAAATGTATAATAACATGATAAAATTAAAAATGATAGAAAAGTAGCTAGTGATAAAAATTAAACAGAATCTTAACTGTTAACTGAAGC